AATAAAAAAAAAAAAAAAAAAAAAAAAAAAAAAAAAAAAAAAAAAAAAAAACAATTTTACATTACTTAAAAAAAAAAAAAAAAAGATAATAATAATAATAAAACAAATAAAAAATTATAATAATAAAAATAGAAATATAAATAAATAGTAATAATAAAAATAAATTCATTAATAATAATAGATAAATAAATAGCAATAAAATAAGTTTTACAAAGATTGAAAATATTTATTATATATATTAGTATTATTATTATATTATTAATGAAGCTAATAATAGAATAATAGAACAATATAATGTCAAAGGAAATAATTTCAAACATTCTTGAAAGTTTTCTTGAAGAAATTGAGTTTTTTTCGGTATCAAAACATGCACTACTACTAGTTGGTAATTTTTTTTTGAATGTTTTTTGTTGCATTTTTAATTAAAAATACAGTAAAAACTGTAATATTGTGAAATATTAATACAATTTAAAATAACTGTTTTCTATTGTAATATATTTAAACATTTTTTTATATTTAAACATTTTATCCCCATGATGCCATTATTTCAGTCTTCAGTGTCACATGATCCTCCAGAAATCATTCTAATATTCAGATTTTATGCTCAAGAAACACTTCTTATTATCAATGTATTATAAATGCATTATCAATGAAAGCAGTTGTCCTGCTTAATATTTCTGTGGAAACTGATATTTTTTTAGGATTATTTGAATCAGAAGGTTGAAAAGAACCGCATTTATTTGAAACCGAAATCTTTTGTAACATTATAAATTAGGGATGTTCATTTCGGTTATTTTTCCTAACCGACAACCGACGCTCGTTAACCGATTATTAACCATTAACCGACAAGATTATTTTAAATTAGAATTGAATTAAATTAGAAAGGATAAGTGTCTGTGACCTGTTAAAAAATACTAACATTTGTTTCCCGGGGATTAATTTTACATGCGCAAAAAGCAGCAAACAACAGAACATGAGGATTCACATGGTCATCATATCACGCACCTGCAGCGCTTCTGCCGGCGGAGAAAATCATAAAGCTAGGCTATATATATATATATAATGAATAAATAGGCCTATACACGAGAAACATATTTTTAATTAAGAAAATTAAAGAAAAACTGTGCAACAAGTAGTTTAGTATGCCGTTTCGGTTCATTTTTGTGCTGTGTGAAAGGAAACAGACGGCAGAAAGCGGCATCCTATTTTTCTTTAGCCTTATTTTACAAAAGCACAAAGATTTGTTTTTATTGTGAATGTACACAAATAAAGGCAAACCTTTTACAATTCCGATTATCTTTATGACTAAAAGGAGTAGTTTCTTCCACTTTTAGAAGGAAAAAATTCAATTCGTGATGTTATGAAAAACATTTAGTTTTACGTGGATATTGGAACACGAGTGAAGTAGGCTACATATAATATTTTGCCATTCAAATACATCGTGAATACGGAAACATTTGATTTTGTGTCGAATGAGAGACCCAACGTTGGTTTCAGTTTCGTTTTGGCCTAAATGAGTTTGTTTTGGCTTGTCGTTTATATTGCTATAGCTTCTTATATTTTTCATTCTTGTTCTTTTCTAAATACTGTTAATTGAAAGCATTTGTTTACAGTGTTTATTATAATGTTTGTAAACATTTCGCGTCAGCATTAGGCCTATTTCTGAATGAAATAATAAAATGCGACTTATGTTTTCCCCCTAAAAAACAATTATTATTTTTTTTATACCCGTAGCGTATTTTAACCATGCAGCAAACCTTTTTAAATATTTTGATTAATGACTGAAAAAATAAATAATTAAATGACTTTTTAAACCGTTTAACTGACTGTATTAATTGGTCAAAATTATTACGGTCGGTTAACCGGTTAAACGGTTAAAATGAACATCCCTATTATCTTTAATGCCATTCTTGCTGTGAAAGAATTTTTTATTTTATTTTTTTTTGTATTTACCATAATTTACGAACTATTTACCATAATTTACGAACTATTTACCATAATTGATCTCTGACTGAAATGTTATTACATTTATTAGCTAAAATGTAAACGTTTAATGGAATTTAACTTTAAGGACCCTGCTATTGCAGTCTATTAATTATAATGTACACTGAAACATTTCTTGTTCCCTTGGACACTGAAAGATGTTTGTCCACTCCTGTGTTTGATGTGGGGAGTTTGTGTCGGTGTTGGGGAGCTGACTGTGATGTGTCTCTGTCCTATTCCATTGCTGAATGCTTTGCGGTGTGGAATAAGCTCATCTGATGTTGTCGCTCCCTGTGTCCGCCTCAGAGCGCTCAGTGGCTTCCCAGCATCTTGTAATTCATTTGAACTCTGTTTTCAGTTCCTGGTGGGGATGCGGGGCAAGGATGAGGCTATGGCCATCGGGGGGCACTGGTCTCCCTCTTTGGATGGGGCCAACCCGGAAAACGATGCCTCGGTTCTTATAAAGACAGCCATACGTTGTTGTAAGGCTCTGACAGGCATTGATCTGAGTTTATGTACCCAGTGGTAAGTACAGCTCCTTTCTCGGTCTGTGCCGATGCGTCTCCTTGTAATCTCCATGTGTGCATCTTTTACTATTTAAAAAATGTAAAAAAAAGGCCAACAGGTAGACAACATCTAAAAGTCTGTGACCCGCTGCATGGTTTTGACACAGCAGTGTATCTCCTGACATGTTTGATGCTTTTGTGTGTATAATTTTGATTTCTCAAATTTTGTTTTGCAATGTTTATGCTAATGTGTGTGGCAGTCCTGCCTCTATTTTTATGTGGTGAATGCATTGATTCTTTTGCTCCGAGAGCAGAGCCAGAGGAGTCGCCGCCACCGCCATCGTTACTTTCTGTTCTCTCTGACCTTTGCCTTGTGTTAAATATCTTACATATTTAACTTGCTTTCACTGTGTCTGAATCTGTCCTTCTCTCACACCCCCGGGGTTCGTAAGCTATCTTTCATGAGCAACTGGTTCAGATTGATGGGTGCAGGGGGCGGGGTCTTCGTCGTTTGAGTTTAGCTGTCGATACTGTCTGTCGACCTCCCTGATGCGTGGCTGCCGTTCATCCTGAGAAACCCCCCGTGGAGTTCTGCAGACTGTATTTTCTCATACGCGTCTCATTCGGGGGGGTCGAAGGGGTCAGAGCTTTGTGTCTGTGTACGTGTGTGTGTGTGTTGGGGGAAATGGGTGATGTCTCACAGAATGTTTCTTTCCAACGCGCTTCTTCCTTTGCGACAGGTATCGTTTTGCAGAGATACGCTATCACCGCCCTGAGGAGACTCACAAAGGGCGGACAGTCCCCGCACATGTGGAGACAGTGGTTTTATTTCTCCCGGATGTTTGGCATTGTCTTCCTACCCGCTCAGAGTGGGAGGGCCTGTCCCGTGGACTCAAGGAGCAGCTGGCAGAGAAACTCGTGGCTGAACGGAAGGAGGCTGATGGAGAACAGGCACTGAACGCTAATCTCTCTCTTCTCATTTCCGCTTCTCACAGGCACAGGAATAGACAAACAAAACACTCAAAACACAGAAAGAAACAGACAAGTATCACAGGCATCATACAGAACCCACTTTTACCATCCCTTCCTCTCATCCCTGTCTCATCCCTGACCCTCCACCCCATTTCCTCCTGCTCTCCCTCTGTCACGCAGTCTCACACACAGCGGAAGAGCTTAGGTCCTACTTTATGACACCTGTCAACTGGTAAAACAGCTTCCAGCTCTGTCAAATGCATGATTGACGGCCGTGATTAATAACTCTAAATTTCCTGTTTAATTTCAACAAATCCTATCTGAAAATTCTCTGTAAAGCTTGAACCAATGAGACCAATTGGGAATTAAATGCTGGAATCTGGAGAGCCAGTTGTGTTTATGATGTTTGTGTGTTTTTAGATTGTTTTGTTTTCCTGTTCAATATCTGCCGAACTCTCTCTGAGTTCTGTTTCTTGTCTGTCTCTTTTTTTATTTTTTATTTTTTGTATTTTATTTACACTGTTCTCTGATTGGACTGTGTCTAGACCCTTTGTGGATGTGATTTTTCCAGGGAGATTGTTTATCCGAGGACAGTTCTGGCTAGGTGTTTAAGAAAACAAGCTAAAGGGAGTATACATGGGCCAAAAAAGGCAGCAATAAATGTAGACGTAAGGTTTGGAGACCTTCTCTGAGTGCATCTGTCCCATGTCCATCTCTTGAACCCACTGTCATTGATTATCTTTTTGTATTCCACAGAACTGGCATTTATTGGCTGATGAGTGGGATATGGATCTGTTTCTGAAAGCTAGAGAGCTTCCGTGTATCCTAGCAGTGGATATTTTTTTTTAACCCAATCAAGAGCTCAGTAGGAGGAGACAATGAGAGACAGTTGTGACCTTGCTTGCACGGATCAGCTTTTGTTTCAGAAAACTTCTTTGAGTCTTGAGAGTGGTGTGCTAACATGCTGTTGTCTTTTCTCTCTTCCTCTCTTTCACATAATGTGCATAGGAGGAGGAGGATAAGGACGAAGATGATTCAAAGGAAGTCATGACGCCAACTCACTGGACTAAGCTTGATCCGAAATCCATGAAGGTGAGATTCCCACAAGCAGCTTCTCTGCTACAGACTGAACTGTCATTATTTTACATCAATATTCTCTATATTTTATTTCATGGGGTCTTCATACCCTTTACATACCCAATATAATGCTTTAAAGTTGATGTTCTTTAGTATGCTGAGGTATAGAAGACTTGTCCTTTTTTAAAATAACAAATAGTTTTTACACTGACACTGGTAACACTTCACAATAAGGTGTCATTTGTTAACATTAGTTAACTAACAATGAGCAATACATTTGTTACAGTATTTATTCATCTTTGTTAATAATGTTACTTAATGAAAATACTAACATTAGTTCATTGTTTGTTAATGTTAGTTCACAGTGCATTAACTAATGTTTACAATTACAACTTTTGATTTTAATATGTATTAATAAATGTTGAAATAAACATTAACTAAGATCAATAAAAGCTGTAGAAGTATTGTTCTTGTTAACTATTACTGTTAAATAATTAACCTTATTGTAAAGTGTTAACTAGACACTTAACTAGACACACAAAAATATATATACCCCTTTGAACAGTGTACACCACCATTCAGTAGTCGTTTTTTTTTTTTTTATGAAAATATAGTTTATTAACGAGCAAAGACACATTAACTTTATCAAATGTGACCGTAAAGACTTTTACATTATTACAACTAATTAAACTAAATGCTACTCTTTTAAACTCACCAAAGAATTCTGGGGGGAAAAAACTCACATTTTACACAAAAATATTAAGAAGTACAACTGTTTTTGACATTGATGATAATAAACAATGTGTCCTGCATTAAATCAGCATATTAGAATGATTCCTGAAGCATCATGTGACACTGAAAACTGGAGTCATTTTAAACTGTTATAATATTTCACAATATTACAGTTTTTACTGTAATTTGTTTAAATAAATGCAGCCTTGGTGAGCGTAAAAGAAAACGATTTAAATCTAAAACAAAAAACTGAACTGTATTGTATTTGATATAAAGTATCCATTTGATATTTGATTCGATTTTTTGGTTCATTGTTACAATAATTTTAAAATAGTCTTTTCTAGCACTAAACATTAAACATTGCACATTTTGTAATTTTTCTTTTCTTTAAGTTATTTGTGTGTTTGTGTAGAAAAAACCTTGTTTGCAGACCAGCGTTTACATCATAAATCTGTCCAATAATAGTTATTTAGGACATTTGTGCACTATAAAGTATAATCATAGTTTCAAAGAGTGGTCCCTGGCATAGAAATGGAAAAGTGCCCTAGTAATCTGTATAAAATTATAAATAAAATAAACACTTTAATCAACTGGAAAAGCCATAGAAATGAGTAGGAGAACAGCACAACAAGCTAGCAGATGAGCGTTTAAAGGGCTGATAAAACCAATTTGCACACAGGTCAATGACTTACGTAAGGAGTTGGAGAGCCGTACACTGAGCTCTAAAGGGCTAAAGTCACAGCTGATTGCTCGCCTCACCAAACAGCTGAAGGTGGAGGAGCAGGTGGAGGAGTCCAAGGAGCCGGAGAAGCCTGAACCTCCTAGTGTGGAGGAGGATGAGTCCTGCAGACTGGAGGATGACCGAGAGGTGAGAGAAGATCAGAGGATCCTGCTTTTATAGAGAGCCTGTCTGATCAGTCGCATACAAATGTGGAAAAAAATTGTTTCCCTCTAGGACGAGGAGCGAAAGCGACAGGAGGAGCAGGAACGTCAGCGCAGAGAGAGACGTTATGTTCTGCCAGATGAGCCCACCATTATCGTCCACCCCAACTGGGCTGCCAAGAACGGCAAATTCGACTGCAGCATCATGTCTTTGAGTGTGCTGCTGGACTACAGACTCGAGGATAATAAAGAGCACTCCTTTGAGGTGAGGATCACTGCAGAGAGGTGAAACAACATGTTTGTGCATATTAAAGATTTTTTTTAATTAATCACCTATAAACTACTAAGTTTTAGGACACTTTGCTTGACTTCGCCTGATATAATTACAATATTCTGGTTTCAGATACACTTTTGTAAATAGTTGCCTTTTGCAGTGAAAGGAGGGACTTAACATCCAAAACTATTCATACACAATTAAAACTAAAACCATAAACATTTTCGTTGCTTGAAATAAAACATTAAAGAAAATCAGTTGCCATGTCAGCATTTAATTTTTTCATTTAGTTTAACTTTATTTACTAAAATAACTAAAACTTAAGTAAAAAAACAAACAAAAAAATTACTAAACTTCTAACTTAAAATGAAAAATATTAAATACAAAAGCTATAGCATAATTAATAAAAGCTATAGCAGTTTTCCAGTGATACTAAATAACACTGATCTTTTGGCATCTGTTTCAGGTGTCTTTGTTTGCTGAATTATTCAATGAGATGCTTCAGCGAGACTTTGGCTACAGGATCTACAAAACACTCAGTTCTCTTCCGAGCAAGGATGAGAGGAAAGATAAAAAAGAGAAAGCTAAAAAAGAGGCAGACCGGAGGGACATAAAGAAGGAGAAGGATGAAGAAAACGGAGAGCCGGCCACAAAGAGAATGAGAGAGGAGGATGAGAAGAGGAAGGTGGGGGAAATACTTCAAAAGAGTTCCTACGACCATGAAAAACCTTGAAATATCAGGACATTTTAAAGCTGTGTCCTGGTAGAGTCATGGAAATTATTAAAAGCTTAAAAATTTCCATAGTGAATATTGATTAGTGATTGTAGTTTCACCTGGTTTTACGCTTAATTTATTTTTCATGGAAATGTTTATTTGGCATCACAAACAACTGGGAAAAGTCATGGGAGAATGACACTGATTGGTCAGAAAGTGTGGGGACTGTGTTTTGATAGATTCTTTGATTTATTCAGATGTCCGTTAAATGCTTAAGCATTGTGATTTGTTCAAATTAATGCGTTTTTTAAAGCTTTTTTTAATATATATGGACATTTTAACATCTGGGTAAAGGATGAGGAGAAAGGTATTAAGAGAGAAGAATCCAAAGATGATGATGATAATGAAGACGGCAGCAGCAACAACAACGCTGATGAATATGACCCACTGGAGGCAGAAGACGCAGAAGACTATGATGATGATGGTAGGGGTCACACTGTTTGCACCTGGATCCTCAAACACACTTTTGATCAGTTTTGATCCAGAAACTGATTCTTTGTGCTCCTCAGATAAAGATGATGAAGACTCTAATGGCAGGGACAGAAGAGACGACCGGCGAGATGAACGGAAATCCAAAGAGAGGTCATCTAAAGATAAAGTGAGTCAACAACATCTCCTTTTGCAGCACAAAATCTTTCTCATACTGAGTGGAGTGGAATGCTTTATTATTTCAATCTGTCTGTAGGATGAGAAGAAAAAACAGATGGTGACGTTTAACAAGGATCTGCTGATGGCCTTTGTGTACTTCGACCAGAGTCACTGCGGCTACCTGCTGGAGAAGGACTTGGAGGAGATCATGTACACGCTGGGCTTGCATCTCTCCAGAGCTCAGGTGCTGCTTCGGTGTAGTGTTGTGCGTTTAGTTGTTACTTGGGAAGGTTTAAGGAGTCTGTAAGTTCCATGAATTAACTCATTATGATCCTAAAATTTTTCTTTTTTTTTTTTTTTTTGGAAAACTATTTTTCTCCATGCTTTTTTAAAAATTCGATTTAATTTAATTATATTGACTAATACTAATATTACATATAATATTATAAATGTATTATAGTAATTATAATAATGATATATTTTAATAGTAATAATTTATCTGATTTAATGTTAATATTAGTAAATAATAATACATTTAAAGTTGTACAAATTGTGTGTGTATAATTATATTACTTTAGAATATGAATGTTTATTATTATTGTTATAATAATGATGATGATGTTCTAATTAGACTACTACTACTAATTATTATTATAATTTTGGATGTAACAGTCATGCTACTTAAAGGGGTCATATGATGCTTTTTTAAAGATCATTATTTGGTGTAACAGAATATGTTGACATGCTTTAATGTTCAAAGAACCCATTATTTTTCAAATACTGTACATTATTGTAGGTCCTCTATGCCCCGCCTCTCTCAAACTCTTCCGACAAGCGCAGTCTGCTCTGATTGGCCAGCTGACCCAGTGCATTGTGATTGGCCGAACACCGCAAGCACTCGTCGGAAATGTAACACCCCTTACCATAATCGAGAGCTTCATCTTTCAAAATAAATGTAAAGACAGTAAATAATGTCATTAGTTTTACCATCAGTTCAAGCCCGAAAGGGGAACAGACACAGTAATGATGCAGTACACAAGCCGCGGTTAAGACAGCTGACTCTACTGTGATGTGACGCTGTCTCCCTCTCTCTCTCTCTCTCGCTCGCGCACACACATACGATGCGCAAAACTCCACATTTGAACAGTCAATAGCAAATACTTAAACTAATAACAAAACAGTAGCTGATTCAGAAGCGCCAGATTGTCATAGCAAAGTCAGAATTACCTCCTCTCCTAGGTTCACGAAACGGTCGTCCATAAAATGCATTGCTGTTCTGTTGTAAGTAATCTTAAAGATTCCTAAATGCATCTACTTTCGGATGGATGCTTTCGCCTAGAAACACAGCGTCTCCCTGACATGGCTGCTTCAACACTAACTGCGGTTACTAAAACCACGCCTTCTTTCTTTGCGTGCACATTTGGGCGGCATTATGCTAATTTCCACATAGTGAGGTAGATATGTGGGGGCGTGGTAGAACGAGCCGTTTTAGGGGGGCGTGGCAGAGTCTTAACTTTGATAAAGAATATCTCTTTGGTTTTGAGACTTCAGTCTTTGCAACTTCAGGGATCTTATCTATGCACAATCAGCTTGTAACACTCCAAAGAGAAAGGAAAACTTGAAATCACATCATATGACCCCTTTAATAATAATTCTATTTGTTAAAAAAATAACAATAATATGAATGTTTTTGTAGTAATTGTTGATGATGATGATGATATTTCTTATTATTTGTTTGCTATTATTGTTTTAATACTAATATTTGTAATTATATATATTATTATTTTTTATTATTATATATTAGAACTATTTTTATTATTACAATACGAAAATTGTTATATAAAATATATTATCATTATTATTTTTTTCTTTATTAAATTTAACAATTATATTTAATTTGTCAACACTACTACTACTACTAATAATGATAATATGGGAAAATGTAAGCAATGATGTTTGTCAGTTGACCTTTTAGTTGCATCATGCTTGATCAGGACAACAATGTGTTAACTGTAATTTCTTAGTTGCAAGCTATATAGCATACTTATAACAGACTAACGTATCTTGTTTGTTTATTTTCAGGTGAAGAAATTGTTAAACAGACCACTGGTTAGAGAGTCTTGCCATTATCGAAAGTTAACGGACCGACCTAAGGATGAGCCTAGCCCCACATTGACCTCTGATGCTCTGATAGACAACCTTTTAGGTGAGCAAAGCGAATGATGGCTGGAATTGAGAAGTTTATTTGTAACTCTAGAGTACACGTCCATGATGCTACAGTAGACCGAATCCCTCTCTGTGCCCCAATAGGTAACCAAAGCTTGCTGCCCAGTCTGAAGTTCAAGCGGGAATCGGAGGACAGCTGCGAGTCGTCTAGCCTAATCGTCTACAAGGGATCCATGGTGGATGTGGGAAGCATGATGCAGAAGCTGGAGAAGAGTGAGAAAACCCGAGAGGAAATTGAGCAGAAGCTCATGCAGCAGGACGTTAAAATGGGTAACAACCTCATCTGTCTTGTTTTCATTGTGTATTTGAACAAGGATGTCAGTGTCACCTTGTCCAGTTGTAATGGTTACCATTAACTGATAAACAATACTTTTTTTCTACCCTCAATACAATTAAATTTGCTAATCAAATCTTTTTGTTTTGTAGAGGAGGACTCAAAGCATATAGCAGAGCTAGAAGCAGCAACCCGCAGCCTTCAGAGGGAGATGGAGGAGGTGAAGAACAATCTCAGAGAGACAGAGAACAACCTGAGAGCCTCAGACCAGCAGAAAGGCAGCTATGAACAACAGCTCCAAGGCACAGTGTCCAGCCTCAACACCATCATGAAGGAGATACAGGGCGTTTTTTCACAAGTATGAACCTTTATTTGTTTCATCACTGTGTGAAATGTTGTAAAATAAATCATGTGTAGTAAGTGGTTTGTTTTTGATGCAGGGTGACCCTTCAGATGACAGTGACCAAAAAACTCAAGCTAATGGCTCAGATGAGTGAACGTCCCTCTCCAGCTCATCCACATCTAATCTCTCTTCAAATGTGTTAATAAGCTTAAAACTCACACAATTCTGAAGCTAATTTTATTTGAGCTTTTTTGCATTCTGTGTACAAAGTTTTAATGACTGGAGGTAAACTCTCATTTTCCTCATAATTCTATGTTTAAAAATAATTCTTTGGTTTTGAAAAATAATTCTCTGAATTCTTCAGAATCAAATGATTACACTTAACAAGTTGAAGTTTAAATAATTTGTTTGAATTATGTAAACGTTTTTGGTTCATCCATTTAAGCTTGTTTTTGGCCTTTTTTCATTTTCAAAAGTTGCTAGTAATTTTAACATGTGTTGCTATATCAGCATATTTCATTGTTGAAATAATGACTTGTGCCAGTACGTGAGTTATTAGCAAAGTTTATTTAGCAATAAGAGTTATTTATGTTTAAATCAAATGTTAGAAACAGCATTAGGATTTTATTAGGACCTATGTGAAGCTGCTTTCTGATCTCTTTCATTGTTCCATGACAAACCGTGATCGAAAAACACGTTTTGTTCAAAGTCTTTTGTTTGATTGGGTCACATCTGCGCATGCATCTTAATTAGCGCATGCATATCAGCTTGATTCCCGAATATTTGGTGAAAATTTAGCATTACATCACTTGCTCACCAGTGGATCCTCTGCAGTGAATGGGTGCCGTCAGAATGACAGCTGATAAGAGCATCACAATAATCCACAAGTACTCCATGTGACTCCAGTCCATCAATTAACAACACAGTGTGAAGTGAAAAGCTGCATGTTTGTAAGAAAGAAAGACATTGACATTTTAAACAGTTTCATCTGGCAAGATTACCAGTCCATAATCCATAATAACACTTCCTCCGGTGGAAAAAAAAAACCCTGTTGTCCTCTCACATCAAAATCCACCAACAAATTTGTTTTCAATTGTAAATGGTACTTGATTGATGCATATTTCTCTCCTGATTCAAGCAAGACTTTTTCACTGGAGGAAGCAATATTATGGATAGAGAGTATTTTAGCCAGAACCAATGGTTTGAAGTTTAAATCATCTTAATAGACCATCTGTTTGGACTCTCATTCTGACGGCGCCCATTCACTGCAGAGGATCCATTGGTGAGCAAGTGACGTAATGCTAAATTTCTCCAAATCTGTTCCCGTGACGAAACACACTCATCTACATTTCGAGGGTGAGTTAAAGGAACACTCCACTATTTTTGAAAATAGGCTCATTTTCCAACTCCCCTAGAGTTAAACAATTGAGTTTTACCGTTTTCGAATCCATTCAGCCGATCTCCGGGTCTGGCGGTAGCACTTTTAGCTGTAGCATAGCATAGATCATTGAATCTGATTAGACCATTAGCATCTCACTCAAAAATGACTAAAGAGTTTCTTTATTTTTCCTATTTAAAACTTGACTTTTCTGTAATTACATCGTGTACTAAGACCGACGGAAAATTAAAAGTTGGGATTTTCTAGGCCGATATGGCTAGGAACTATACTCTCATTCCGGCGTAATAATCAAGGAACTTTGCTGCTGTACCATTTGCTGATTTTACGCAGCGCCTGAAAATCTGGGGTCAGACCCATTATCCCCTCATCTCTGTCTGAACTGTGTGTCTGTGCTGACATTCACCATCCCCTCCCCGTTTTCGCACATAGCTTTGTTTCAGAAGACCCCACACTTTGTCCGAGCCCCTCAGCTCCTCCTCCTCCTCCTCCTCCTCACACTATCACTCTTTTCATTTTCACTCTGCTCAAAGTCTCAACGCCTTCAACAAGTCACTTGTGCTAAGATGTAATTATCATGACAATGGAATGTGGTCTCTGGAGACCTTGTGATAGCTTTTCATAACATGTTGTGCTTCTCTGTTTTCATTATTATTTGCTTGACTTTGTGGAAATAGAATTGACTTTGTGGCCTCTGAAATTCTGAAGTAGGAAGTCTGTGAATAGTGTTTGCTGACATGTACAATACTGTTCAAAAGTTTGGGGTCAGTAAGAAATTAGTACTTTTATTCAGCAAGGAGGCATTTACTTGATCAAACGTGACACTAAAGACAAATGTTTTTTTATTTCAAATGAATGATTTCTGGTGGACCATGTGACACTGAAGACTGGAGTAATGACTGCTGTAAATTCAGCTTTGCATCACAGGAATAAATTATTATTAAATAAAACATTTTAAAATATATTTAAATACAAAACAGTTATTTTGAATTGCAATAATATTTCACAATATTATTGTTTTTACTGTATTTTTTAAATAAATGCATCTTTAACGAGCGTAAGAGACTTTTTTCAAGAACATTTTAAAAATCTTACCAACTCCATCCTTGTCTAATTGTTCTGTCTACAGTACACCTTTGGGAGCTTTCATAATACAAACGTGATGTGAAATACTGTATGTATATTTAGTTAACATTTTCTGTGGTCATAATATTACATTTGGCATGCCTGCTTATGAATATTATTACATGTTTATTCATAGGGGTGAGCTATATAAATGAGTGGATGGCCATGCAGCCTAATGGCTATATTGAAGTAATGATTCAGAGACATGGAAAATTAGTCATTTTTTGATTCAGTAGCCACTCGGTGAGTTTATTCAGTGATATATTTGGATCACTGAGAAATCTCAAAGTTTGCTCGCCTTTTTGAATGATTCATTCAAAAATGACTTATAAAAGTCATTCATTTGTAAATCAGACTACACGGTTCGCATGTTTGGTTTTTGAGTGAAGCATGAGGAATGGCACCACTAAAAAGGAACGCTGATGCAATCTGTGAATGCGACACACTTGTGCTGTGAGAAATATAGAAATAAATTTAATAAGATCTTGTATTTTTCATATTTCTGACGTGGTATGGACCATTCTCATGCGCCATTCTCATACTTTGCAATACCCACCTTTAAACAGGGATCTGCTTCTCCATATTCCTTCACTTGATCTTCCACATAACAGTCAAACAAACATGAAAACCACCCTCTTATGTGATGCTTTAAGTCTTTTGACCATTGAAGGGCATCTGTGTCAGTGGCATTATATCAGCTGCCAGGCCCTCCAGTGTTTGAGAGGTGCTTGCATTCAGTTCTTAGTCAGCTGGACTACCCCAGGGACAGGCAAAGTGGAGCAGTTGTTGAGGAAATTATCCTTTTTCCTGGCTCTAAGGCAAGGGAATACTGGGTTACAGTGTGAGAAACCTGTGCGCTTGTGTTTGACTGGCTGTTTGGCATCTCCCAGTGGGAACACCACACCCCTGTGTTGTCTACATGGCGGACATGGGCTTTGAGGTACCTTGATTGCTTGTTCTAAAACCCTCTCAGAGGTAAGTGTATTAGTTAACAGTCCTTCATTTCATTAGTTTAAGTATTGCATGTTTTATATTTAACATTATGGTCTGATGCCATAATATGGTAAGGAGATACAGTAGATTGCACAAAACATACTTTGTGGAACCAACCACAAAGTATGTGTTATTTACAATAACTTTTCCGGCATGCATGTTTCAGTCTATAAACCAGGCAACAATGGAAACAAACACAGGAAAACACATCTCCTTTCCTGCTAGTTGCTAGGCCGATTTTGAACGTCACTGACCATTTCTCAGTCTAAACAGTCCAAAGGAAGCCATTCTGTGCAATATAAACCCAATATCAACAACGAAGATATACACTACCAGAAGTCTCTTGTGCTAACCAAGGCTACAGTTATTTGATCAAAATACAGTAAAAACAATAATATTGTGGAATATTATTACAACTTAAAATAAACCTTTTCTATTTTAATTTTTAAAATGTAATTTATTCCTGTGACGGCAAAGCCTAATTTTCAGCAGTCATTACTCCAGTCTTCAGTGTCACATGATCCTTCAGAAATCATCCTAATATGCTGATTTGATGTTCAAGAAGCATTTTATTATCATTATTATCAATGTTGAAAACATTTGTGCTGCTTAATACTTTTGTGGAAACTGTGATGCATTGTTTTCAGGATTATTAGATGAAAAGAAACAGATATCTTTATAAACATTATACATGTCTTCAATGACACTTTTGATCAGTTTAATGTGTTCTCACTGAATAGATGTATTCATTTCAATAAAAAAAATTACTGACACTGAACTTTTAATGTATGATTGGTATGATTTGTCAGCTTAAAATGAAGCAAAGGTTTGAGACAAAGCACAGTATATTGATATCTACCTTATCTAACCACATTAAAATGTGCCTGGAGCGCGCTCATAATATTTAAATAAGACATCTGTGCATCTTAGTGTAATCCCACACTGCTCTGACCCGGATATCACCTTCATTGATGTGAAAAGCATGCACTAACACAGAACAGGAATTCCAAGGGAGGCAGTTCCTGCTTGGATGTAGTCACCCTGGTGCAGGGTCACTGGAAGCAGCAGGAGTCTTTTAACATGCCAGCATTCACCTAAGTAAGCTCTAATACATGTTACCTTTGAAGTTGGTTTTTACAAGGCATTTGAAAGGCTGATTGAAAGGGTGATTTAAAAAAAAAATCTTCATTAAAGCAAATGGAAGTCAATGACAGGACACTAGTTATGAGGTGACAGATGATATGGCACAGAAATCTTACATGATATGGGATATAACTTTTTGATCATCCCAAACATTCAATACACTATGTAAACCCCTAATAATAGACATTATTAAGTGCACCTGCAGTGGAGCCCGTGTGTGTTCCCGTCTTGCTGTACACCCTGCAATTACTCTAGCACTTGGGTTCAAACTCTCACTCTACTGTGAACATCACCGTGTTCAGGCATATGTTAGTATAACAGCCCCTCACAGTTGGGAAGAATTTTGTGTAGCACTGGACTGCTGTCTGTATCTGACAGCACATACATCTGTGGCACATTTTTCAATGTCTTGCATGTCACATAAACATTGACTGTCACTGTGATATTCTAAAATAATTAACCTACAGCCATACAAAGATACAATTTGAAAAGGCTTATATAACCCCAGATTCTGTGTACTGGGCTGTCTACTGGCCAGCAAAAACAAAATAAAGCATTCTTAACATAAAATGTCTGAACTTTTATGCTACACCATACTGACAATACAGAATGGGTTTAACATCCAATCCTAACTATGATGTATCTTAAAATGCTGCGGTTGGTACAGTGTATCATATGTTTTTGGAATATCCAGTGTTAAATGATTCATGGACTTGAGTTTGTTTTGCTTTAGAAGAACTGATTGGGTTTAATGTCTCTCTGGATCACTGCCCATGCCTTTTGAATGATGACCATTCTTTGAAACTTGGAGCAATGGCCCAACAGATTCTGTTTTTGGTCTTTACTGCAGCAAAGAAGACATTACTCGAAATTTAGTAGGATGCTAATGTAGATACATCAAGACTGTGGCTACTGGAAATGCAACACATAGTGGAATGGCCTTTAGCCAGGTTTAATAAAGTGACACCCAGGACAATGCAAGTCTGGTTAAGAGTTGCAAAATCTATTCGTGACACTGGGTGATAAACATATTTCTGTAAAACTGAAAAAAATGTGTTTTATTAATTTCTATACAGTATTAGTACACGGTAAAAAAAAATCTGTGACTTTTACGGTAAAATACTGGCAGCTGTGGTTGCCAGAACTTCACCGTAAAAAAATATGGTAGCAACATTTTAGGTTTTACAGACCATATACACCATCTTGGCTCAAAATAAACCCTAATGCATTATGAAATATATGCTTTCTCTAAAAACAGCATGTTGATGGTTCTGTTGAATTCTTTGCCAGAGCAAAAAAGCTTCGAATCAAACTGACTTGGATATATACAAAGAAAATGTCCAATCCTGATGTGGTTGTGGTCAGAACAGATGCTTTGACTCATGTTAAAACACAGATGTATGAAGACACAAGGTCTTATTCATTGAACATGAGGACTGCGAGGGGTCTTTATAAATGCATTGTATGGCAGTCTTCCAAAGAGTGTGCGGTCATGCATGTCTACCTTTAACATGATTTATGGTGGGAAGAGGGAATGTATTCTTTACACGCACCAAGGAAACACAATATCCTGTTCCACTGCTAGACCTTTGCCCTATGGTCATACATACATTTCAGCCACTTTTTGATCTGTCTGTCATATGCCACATGAGACAAAGCTTGAGTTTAAACTCGGGACAGGATTTCGGATATCAAAATTATTTCCTGAATTTGTACAGGTTTCAAAACAGCAGTCTGCCTATCGAAAATTGTTACGTAGTTTGTGAAATTTTAGTCTCAGTATTCAGTATTTATGCTTCTCACACTCACCACATTGCTGATGATAGTGTTGATATAGGAGAGACTAGTTGTCACATGTCATAAGAGCTGTTATTGGCATTGGTGGTTCCATGAAGAACCTTTACACCCATGGATCATTTCAAATGCACAAAAGACTCTTTATAGTAGAAAAGGGTTCTTCAGGTTATTATAATGTTAAGATAAAAATGATTATTTAATAACTGTTCACTGAAGGGTTCTTTGAGGAACAAAAATGGCCCTTATGGCATCACCACGAACCATCTTTTAGAACCTTTATTTTTAAGAGTGTACATGGTTTTGAGTCAAAAGTCCACTTACGCAAATGTGCGTTTTCTCTGGCAGTGGGTTTAAAACTGTTCAAAATACTCTTAAATTATAATTTTGTGAAATCTGTCTTCTAAACTAAAATCCCAAATCGCATATATTGCAAAAGCTCAGTAACAAGTTGCTAAATAATTATTGCTTTTCACACTTTAAATGTCATAAATTCATAAAATGTATAAATTGAAATATTTTTTGGCCAAATCAATACACTGGGTCGATATTCTATGTTATATTTTACATTTGTGCTGTTTCATGAATTATTTGAGTTGTTTTATGTTTAGATTTGACTCATTAGTCTAGAATAGTCTGTTAAAAGCAGGTTCCACTGTGACAACTTACTCCATATACTGCGACATTTTTGGCCAATAATTGCGGAAATATTTAAGTATTTTGTGTAGTGCTGTCAAACGATTAATCGCATCCAAAATAAAAGTTTTGTTTACATATGTGTGTGTGTACTGTGCATATATAAATACACACACATGCATGTATATATTTAAGAAAAATATGTTTTGCTTATATATACAAAATATACAAACTGCCTTGAAATATTCACTGGAATAAAAAATTAGCTCCACTGCGAAATGTAAGGTGCATATAGGCAGAGAATAATGCGGCTTGTTTGCTGCTGAAACTGAGGCAAAATTGTTTGATCGTCACACTTACTTGATGTTGTGGTTTAATGACAAAAATACAATCTCTGCATAATGCGCCGCATTAACCACCTCTTTTCCCTGCACGCTGTGTTTACTACCTGTAGATTCCTTTCAACCGCACTCTTCACGCGAACACGCCCATATAATTAAAGAAGCGTTTTGATTGGTTCGCTGCGTCTCCCCTCCCCTGCGTCAGTAGCGGCGGTTGCCTTGGGAGCCCGTAGACACCGAAGAACACATTCAGAGTCGAGACACACGGGGCGGCGTCCTGCGCTCCAGAAATGTGACACATTACAGCCGTTGGATTAGGCAAACCGAATTATGAGGCCTTATTCCCAAAACTACATGTAGAATGAGATTAATTTGAGGGCAGACATGTCTGTACAGCACCGCTTGGTCCAGCTGTCAGCCGCGTCGCTCGCTGTTGTGCTCTGCCGGGACGAGGACAGCAAATACAGCGCGAGCAGCACCAATGGACAGGGTGTGTTTGCGGACTTTAAATCGCAAAATTCGCGAAGCTTCTGGAATAAAAGACTCGTGAAGGCGGTGTCGGAAGTTTCCTTCCAGGGATGGCTGGAGAACTACGTGCTTCTCGTCCAGGGCAATGCCAATAACCTGGAGGTGTTGAGGGAAGCGTGGATGCGCAGGGCGCTGAGGTCGCCCGAAGGATACACGATCAGAGCAGTGGGTAGGTGATCAGCATTTGGCTGTTTGCGTTGGTGTTATAAGATGCATCCATGATGATCGTCCCAGAGCTTTGTCTCCAGCTCATGGCCACTCTGCAGATTGAACTGAACTTGATCAGAACGAGTGCGCTGCAGAAGTGAGTCCCACGAGAGCCAAATCTGAGGAAGGCTTGGGCTTTTGTAAATGTAGCATTTTGTTGATGAAAGCGACATGGTCAAATTTGTAAAGAACACTTTTTGGATAAGGAGACTTTTTGGATAATGAGACAAGGAGTCATACTCTTTAGTTATTATTTCTAAGATAAATAGCGAGGCTTTGTTTTAAAATAGGCTATTAACATTTCTATTTGAAAACAATATTTAAATAAAAATTTGAAAAGCCTTGTCTGCCTAATGCAAGTCAGTGCATTGAAATCAACATCAAGAAAAGAAAGGAAAAAGAGGCACGTTTTGTTCCAGTCAAATGGAGTAACCCTGAGAAAAGGTGTCCATATGCATGAATCTTTAAACATGTTCGAAAACTTTTTTTTGAAGAAAATGACTTCAGTTGCATTGAAAAGCACAAAACATGTATGAGTACTTTTTACATGATGGTTACACCACTTGACATTTTTCAAAGTCAAAGTCCTTGTAGAAAATGATATGTTCTCAGAAATATATGAAACCAACATGAATTTCTTAGAACTTGGCATGTTTTAAACTAGATTTTCACAGATTTCATTAGAAAATCTAAATATAACCTTCAGTGGTACATGGACATTTTCCCCAGTGGCTCTCTACAATGATCCATATGCTCTACACTCTTAAGAAAAATGGTTCTAAACAGTACCAGAAAAGGGTTCTTCAGCTTGTAACAATAGCAGAACCCTTTTTGGTGCTAAATAGATCCCTTTTTGTAGGGTTCCATAAAGAACCATGCTTTGAAAGTGCTATATAGAACCTTAATGGTGCTATAAATAACCTTTTTAATGATAGTTTAGTTTCATTAATATTAGTATATTTATATCATTAATATTAGTTTTATTAATATGATTTATTATTATTTTTTTTACATCTCTATCTGCCTGGTCTTATATATCTATATATAATATATAGCTTCTATTAAGGTTTTCATAAAAACAACAACAACAGCATGTTGTGTCAATTAGGTATTTTTATTTTATTTAATGACATGTGAAATTTTAGCAAAAGTGACAGTGATTTTAACAACCGTTATTAGCATATCTATATATAATATATAGCTTCTATTAAGGTTTTCATAAAAACAACAACAACAGCATGTGTCAATTAGGTATTTTTATTTTATTTAATGACATGTGAAATTTTAGCAAAAGTGACAGTGATTTTAACAACCGTTATTAGCAGAATACATTAATAAATGACAACTGACATTGATGATTGAACATAAATAAATACAGAGGTAAAACAGAAACAGAAAATAGTCTAATGAAGACCAGTGAAAATACTGATCTAGTGAAATACTGTATTTTCACAATCCTCTATGATGCCTGTAAGCCCATCATTATGTGTATTTGTGACCCTGTCTGTGAAATTCAGGCTTTAGATAACAAGCATCAAAATATGATTTCAAACTTTGACATGGCCTTACTCAATCAATGTTAAAGATATCAAGGTTACATTTTCACAGAATGTTCTTTACATGATAAAGGACAATTTCATGTAAAACAGTAAATCACACACACACACACACACACACATACACAAAAAAAGACTTTAGCTGGGTTTTCACAGGCAGAGTGGCAGTTTTTCTCTGCAGATGACGAGGTTGTAGGATGTGACAGCATCTGAAATACACAGTTGAGTTTAGATTTACAATGTGCCTCCTTCCATTTGTTTATGTAAAAACAATCGTTTATGAAGGCCAAAAGTAGTATGTGAGCACGTCACAATGTTATGTTTATGCATAAACCCAAGTAATAAAAAAATAAAAAAATCTAACAATATGGACCATAAATTCAATATCTTTGTTACTTACTTAGTGGAGATGGAGAAAGAAGTATCCTTAACTGAACAGAGCTGGTCGCACTTACATGTTCTCTTAAACTAAAAAGAGAAAAAGACATGATTGATAGGAAACCAGTTACAGTTTAAAAGTTGAAAATAATAGACATTTTAAGAAAGAAATCATTTACCTGTTGAGAGTGTGTTGACAGTCTGTGTAGTTGGATGGCTGAAGTCCAAAAAATCAGTAATTCAGGGGGGAAATCAGGGGGATTTACATTAAAATAACAACAACAATAACAGCAGCAACAACATATTGTAACTCCGGCCTCAATATGTTGAGGCTCCGGCCCTCCAGGAATTGAGTTTGACACCCCTGCTCTAGGAGATCCACATACTCCACTGTCCTCATTAATGCCTCTTCATCCTCTGTCTCATTATAAAGATACCCAGACCCCCCCCCCCCCCCCCCCCCCCCCCCCCTCTCCCTCACTATAAAAAAACCCCCCCCCCCCCCCCCCCCCCCCCCCGCTATAATAGAAAACCACATAATTTCCTTTCGCTGTAGAAGGTAGCCTCTTAACCTAACCTGACCAGCAATTCCCCATGAGACCTCAACATGCTTTAGGCGTAACTGTGTGTGTGTGCATGCGACATAAGTGCATTATTTCCAGATGACAGGAAATATGATTCCTGGGGAGCTGTGTAACCCCGCTCTCTCCCTCTGACTCAATTTTCACTGCTCCGTTTCAGCAAAAGTGGTCAACTACCAAGAAAATGGGGCATCTTGATTTGGTGTACAAAAGTTTATGTTGGTTATTATTGTGTTTTGATTGGGGATGAAATTGTTTTTGTTGGTCACATGTTGAGGTGACAGACCATTTGTGACAGTGTGGACTTGTGTTGCCTCAGGTGTCGCTGCTTCTGGGAGGCATCTGGTTTGCCCACTCCAAACACGAAGCAGACTGTAAGAACCGCCATTTGCTCTTGATGTCACAAGCGATGAAGGTGCATGTTAACACTATGGGTATAGTATGCAACTGGGGCACACAATAATGGGACTGGGAGTATAGAGGGAGTTGAAACCCACAGCTTTTTTCACTTGTTTAATTTTCTTTCGGAAATTGGAAGAACACTCTCACACATAAAAAATGTTAAGACCTCAGGTCAGGTTGTCTGCTGTGGTGACACAGACCCAGGCCCAGTGTCTTTTGTAATTTATTACCCATTCACCAGAGCACATAGTGCTGAGTGATGTCCTGATCAGTGTGTCCACGGCCTGGTTTATAGCTTGGCCACTGGAGCCCAGTGTCCCTTGTTTCATTCTCAGGGTGGTACCATAGTCTTTTTATTGTTGTCTAGAGACAGCACCAGGATATTGTGTGGGCAATGATTTAGGTATGGTTTAATGAAAGTATAGAAATGATATATAACTGTAAATAAGTTATTAAGGTCATTGGGAAATAACACCTCCAAGAGGTTTTTTTTTTTAAACATCGCTTTAGATGTGACACACTTTCAGTACTTTGAATACTTTCAGTGTTTTTCTAGGCCTGTGTTTAGTCAGCAGGAAAGGGTTAGTGGCTGTGATTACCCATCAGCAGATGGGATGATGAATGAGCTTGCCTCCCTCTCTGTCCTCTTGATTATCAGTATGCATTAAGTGAAAAGATGGATTGTTCACTGAGGTGTGCTGTGCTTTTTTAGCCTCTTGCTCACTGACCTTTTCAGCTCAGATTTTTAGTCTTCTGTCTTTTGTATGTTCTCCAAAACTTAATACATACATTAATATTGATTTATACCACTATATTCATGACTTAGCCTATTAGTTTAAAACAATGATAACTTCTTTTATAATATTTGTATTGTTTATTATTTTTATGATATTTTTTATTTTATTTGTGATGTTTTTGTCTTTTTAACCAGCCTCTGATTACTATGAACTGACGGGGGGGGGGGCATGTTCCACAGAAATAATAACTATGTTGGGTCAGGTTAGTAATGGCAAAACGGTGAGAAAATATTAAAACAATTGTCTTTTTTTGGCAAACTCTCAGCTTAATTGTTGAAGAAGCTTCAAGAATGTTGACAGGCACGTATTTAAATGTGCAGAAATGGCTCAGACGCTTTGTCTCTGGCCTGTTGCCTTGGTATACAGAGAATTCTTCACGCATCATTGATCAGGGAAGCTGATGTAAATGGGAGGCACAGGAATAATGTGCTCTTAACTATGGGTTTAGGATGATGACTGTTAAAAGCATTTGCAGAAACAAGAAATTCAAGGCTGCCTCACCCTTGTCCGCCTGTCTGTTGAAATCTGAGGTGCTTACTGTACAATGACTGAAGTCTCTGCATTATTGAGGAGCTTTGGATCATGCCGTCATACTCAGAAGGGTATAACAACATCCATGTTAAGTTCAAATGAGGTGTTCAGTAAGGTTGAGGTGACACACTTTCAGTACTTTGAATACTTTCAGTGTTTTTCTAGGCCTGTGTTTAGTCAGCAGGAAAGGGTTAGTGGCTGTGATTACCCATCAGCAGATGGGATGATGAATGAGCTTGCCTCCCTCTCTGTCCTCTTGATTATCAGTATGCATTAAGTGAAAAGATGGATTGTTCACTGAGGTCTGCTGTGCTTTTTTAGCCTCTTGCTCACTGACCTTTTCAGCTCAGATTTTTAGTCTTCTGTCTTTTGTATGTTCTCCAAAACTTAATACATACATTAATATTGATTTATACCACTATATTCATGACTTAGCCTATTAGTTTAAAACAATGATAACTTCTTTTATAATATTTATATTGTTTATTATTTTTATGATATTTTTTATTTTATTTGTGATGTTTTTGTCTTTTTAACCAGCCTCTGATTACTATGAACTGACGGGGGGGCATGTTCCACAGAAATAATAACTATGTTGGGTCAGGTTAGTAATGGCAAAACGGTGAGAAAATATTAAAACAATTGTCTTTTTTTGGCAAACTCTCAGCTTAATTGTTGAAGAAGCTTCAAGAATGTTGACAGGCACGTATTTAAATGTGCAGAAATGGCTCAGACGCTTTGTCTCTGGCCTGTTGCCTTGGTATACAGAGAATTCTTCACGCATCATTGATCAGGGAAGCTGATGTAAATGGGAGGCACAGGAATAATGTGCTCTTAACTATGGGTTTAGGATGATGACTGTTAAAAGCATTTGCAGAAACAAGAAATTCAAGGCTGCCTCACCCTTGTCCGCCTGTCTGTTGAAATCTGAGGTGCTTACTGTACAATGACTGAAGTCTCTGCATTATTGAGGAGCTTTGGATCATGCCGTCATACTCAGAAGGGTATAACAACATCCATGTTAAGTTCAAATGAGGTGTTCAGTAAGGTTGAGCACAATTAACCTCACTGATATTTTCAATAACATAGTATGCCATCTGGTTTAACTTAACAGGGACATAAAACACACACTGTTCTGCCAATGTCATGCTTATTTTGAGTACCTAGCATAGTATTGCATTCTTCATATCTCCAAATAGTCTTTAGTTTTCAGGTTTATGAAAGACAGATACAGCTTTACAATTCTCTCCGAAAACAGTCGAGCCCTTGGAGGTGTGCTGTGGGCGGAGCTAAAGAGTCACGAGCACGTAAATGGGAGGCACAGGAATAATGTGCTCTTAACTATGGGTTTAGGATGATGACTGTTAAAAGCATTTGCAGAAACAAGAAATTCAAGGCTGCCTCACCCTTGTCCGCCTGTCTGTTGAAATCTGAGGTGCTTACTGTACAATGGCTGAAGTCTCTGCATTATTGAGGAGCTTTGGATCATGCCGTCATACTCAGAAGGGTATAACAACATCCATGTTAAGTTCAAATGAGGTGTTCAGTAAGGTTGAGCACAATTAACCTCACTGATATTTTCAATAACATAGTATGCCATCTGGTTTAACTTAACAGGGACATAACACACACAGTTCTGCCAATGTCATGCTTATTTTGAGTACCTAGCGTAGTATTGCATTCTTCATATCTCCAAATAGTCTTTAGTTTTCAGGTTTATGAAAGACAGATACAGCTTTACAATTCTCTCCGAAAACAGTCGAGCCCTTGGAGGCGTGCTGTGGGCGGAGCTAAAGAGTCACGAGCACGCGCAGCTTTTGCAAGCTGTGACATCGACATGAATAAAACGGGAACAAAACTTTATTGACTCAAATTTTAATTAATTTGTTTATAATACATTCATCACCGAAATGCTGAGAACAAACAAACACACTTCCACAACTCCGTTGCTGCCCCGGAGAAACAAACTGCATCCACTGTTCCCTTAACGCTGGGTTCTTTGGGAAGCTGAACAAGGTTATCTTTCCCTCACAACCAAAAACACACTTCTTTGGTGGCATTGTTGATTTCGTGGTCTAAAAACAAAATGACAAATCCTTCTCAAGCAAGGACCACAATGGAAATAATTCTTGTTACTTTATTGTGTTATCCTTGACAAAGAAGTGTAATGCAGATGTGTTGTCACTTTTTATGTCTAATAAAACTCAAACTCAAGTCCTGAGCAGCACTGCTGATGACTTCCGTAACCCGAATGAGGCACGTTGATGGGCTGCTCTTGCTCTCGCTCTAGTTGATATGCGCGTGCTCTTCTGGGAGAAGTGCCCATACAAGGAATTCCACCCTTTATGACATCATACAAGACCATACTCAAAAAACAACTTTCTGAAACTTATATGAACCCTGAAGGAGGCACAGATATACTCTTTCATACGTCCAACTCGTTTTTTGAAACTTTGGCCGTGTTTAGCATGAGAATCCATCTCTTTAACAGTGTAAATAAGTCAGAATGCATGAAATAGCATTAGACCTCCCCTTTAAGTTTTTATCAGCTGGATGGACCATGTTTGTTAGTGCACATTTATGATATCTTCCAGCCTAACTGTGAACATATACATGTGCCTCTGCCAAAGTAAACTGATTTGTTGGAGGTTTATGCAATGTAGACTACATCTCTCAGATCTCAGCTCATTAGCCGTGACATGGCATCGTGCTGGAATCTTTTATCCTGAGGTCAACACCCTGTGGTTCTCATGCATTGAAAGCTGCCCTCTTGGTTAACAAGGCACCAGAGGTCATTGCTCCCTAGTGCTTTTTTCAAAGATGTCATTGCTGACCACAACACTTCCAGGTGTGCACCGTAAACAGAGGAGGCACAGTTCAGCCAACATGTGTTTGTAAAAGAACAAAAGCTTTCTTATTTCCATGAAAGCCTATCTTTCTTTCACTTGAGGAAAACCTAATAAAAGCAAGAAAGAAATTTGCTTACGCATGAAAAACTTGTAAAAGTGGCATATGGTATCACCACAAGCAGATACTCCAGGATAAATATCTGGAAAACTATTTATTTAAATGTTTTTATGTAAATAGAATAATCCCTGTGTGTAGTTACACAGAAAACTATTATTAGTAATAAATTACATTAAAAGTGGCATGCGGTATGACCACAAGCAGAGAATGCAGGATAAACATGTGGGATATTTTTTAATTATTATTTTTTTTATTTTTTTTATAGATACATATGGTACTATACTATGGTAATTTTGGGCTTTATTTAATTTAACTTTCATCACAGCCAGAAATTCCAGGATAAACATGTCAGGTATGTTTATTTATTTAAAAGCTTTTTTTTTTTAAGCGAATTAACTAATCCATGTGGTCAGAATAAAAGAGAGTCATATGTCGTGTACATGCCCAGTTTTGGAAGATAAAGTTGGAGCTGGATCAGGTTTCTAAGAAAGCAACCAATGTAATGTTTTCCAAGATAACCAAACACCCAAACCAAAGTCTGCCACGAGTAGCCATGTGTATTTGTTTCAGACTTCTTCATTTTTCACCCACTGAAATTGTGTATCCTTTAGTGACACACTTTCAGTACTTTGAATACTTTCAGTGTTTTTCTAGGCCTGTGTTTAGTCAGCAGGAAA